TCCCGGTGGGAAATATCTCACTGTGCCAGAGATACAAAGCTGTTCTGGCCTCATTTTGGTCACTTATCATTATAAAACTGAAAACACATGGGCATCGTTTTTTCAACATCATCTCTACTAAATTCAAGAGCCAAGATGAGAAGGAACATAGGTGTGTGTGTGTGTGTGTGTGTGTGTGTGTACGGTGGGTGACTAGCTTGGGTCTATAAAAGTACACGTGTGGGTACAAAGCAAGTAGCTTTGTGGCTCAATGCAAACTCCAAAGACCATTATGGAGGGCGTGGGGATGGTCGACTGTACAGTTAACACGCAGGAGAGAGAGGGGCGAGAGAGAGGGTGAAAAAGAGGGGGAGGGAGAGAGAGAGGAACTGAGGGAGGGAGACAGAGAGTGAGAGAGAGAGAGTGTGGGAGACAGAGGGAGTGAGAGAGAGTGAGAGAGAGGGAGAGAGAGAGGGAGACAGAGAGTGAGAGAGAGAGAGAGGGCGGGAGACAGAGGTAGTGAGAGAGAGGGAGAGAGAGAGAGGAACTGAGGGAGAGAGACACAGAGAGTGAGAGAGGGGGGTAAGGAAGAGAAGGAGAGAGAGAGACATAATTTAGCTAAATGTGATCATAGTGTCATCAGGTCAAATCCTGACCCCGGCCTCACTGGGCAGTACCTGCAGTAGGTGGTGTTACTTGCAGTATGTGGGGTTTCCTGCAGTAGGTACTGCCCACAGCTCCGTTGCTGTGGTATTTACTATAAACATGTTCATTAACTTTTCTCACGGGGGTTAGAGGAGAACAAATCAACACACTGTGACACACCTCCTTTATTTTCTCCTTGCAGAGTTTGTATTGCTTCTTCTGATCATCCAGGAAAGTGGTCAGCTCCTTCTTCTGCTGCGTCGCAATCTGCTGCTGGAACTTCTTCTCATCTGCCAGGGTCGTCTTCATCTGAGGGGGAGACACAGAAGGTGAGAGGAACCGGTTGCTGCAACAGGAATCTCAGCACCTTGGCTGTAGGCTGACCTGAATGATTCACTGATCATCAAAATAAACTGTACTGGAAACGACTGGTAGAAATGTAATGACATACACTGTATGCATATATATGCACACACAAATATGTATATATGTGATTTCATTCCTACTTATAAATACATATTTTTATATATATATATTTGTATACACAAATATATGCATATATACATGTAAATGTACATACACAAATATGTATATATGTTATTTCATTCCTACATATATATGCATGCACATATATATTTGTATTCACATATATGCATATATACATTCTTAAATGTAATTGCAATATTAATTTTTTTTTTCATTAAGTAAAACCTTTGCAGGATGTTTCTTTTTCTTACAAATCAATTCTTTTAAAAATACTGATATATTTTTATTAGTATGTGTTAAAATTGTTTATCATGAAATATTCGTTCATTTTGAATGAATCACTCGTGAACGACACATCACTACTCAGCAGCTGCTCTCACAGTGTTGTTAAAAACAAAACAAAAAAAAACATTTTTCTGGTATATAATTGTCAATCAAATTTCTAAAATATGAGATAAGGTACAGTTATTATTGTAAACATTAACTTTTTGAGTTTGAAAAAAAACTCCAGTAAAATATGAAATTTTAGCTTGATCCTGTTTACAGACTGAATGACAGTTGGTTGACAGTTGGTCACATAGACCATGTGTCAGTGTATATACACTTCAGGTTTATATGTGCTGTACTGTAGTATCTCCCTGCCTGCTGCAGCATGCTACACACTAATCAGCAGAGATATGCAGTTTGTTTTTCAGATCACAACATTCTCTGACCCACTTCTGGCTGTGGGCTTTATCTTTGTTTGGAATGGGCGGCAGCAGTGGATTAGGTCTGACTTCACTCACCTCACTTCACTTTCTGTAAGTTTATATTGTACTTTGGATCGTACTTTACGTAAACTTTACTGATTCACGTCGACCACTGTAATCATCCCTTACCTTTGTTTAGCTTTGGGTTCTTATTATGCAACCAGTCACAATTTTCTCTCCTGTCCTGGAACTGAGCCGCCCTCACAAAACGAGAAAAAATAAAAAAAGGCAAGAAAAGAAAAAATCCCCACCTCCTTTTCGCTTTGCACAATTTGGCGCTTCGCCAGCTTCTCCAGCTCGATGTAGGCATTGTTGGCCTGCGTCTCCACCTCTTTCTGGAGCTTGAGCCGGTGCTCGTCCATCTCGGCTTTCAGCTTGTTTTCCAGAGCGATCAGCTGCTTCTGGTGCTGCCGCCGCATCCGTTTGTAGCCGGACATCTGCTCCCGCAGCTCACTCTCCTGTTCATGCTCGTGGATCTGCTTGGTCACCTTTTATCGGAAACACAAAAGTAGTCGAATTAGATTATTTAATTATAAAAATAAAAAAAAATTAATATGGAATTCAAGACAAATACTGAAGACTGAAAATTGCATATAACGGCGAGTAGAAAATAATCCCTTAAAACGGGTCATTACAGGTCAGTTACTTCATCAATTTCTTTTGTTTTAACGTTTTGAAAAAAATTTGGAAAAAAAAATACACTTTTTTACCCTTTACTTTACTTTGCAAAAACATTTAAACCTTAGTTTAAAAAATGAACAATACATTTAAAAAGACGTCAGGACTTCATTATTCCGACCATCGGACATTATCGTCAACAACCATCACCTGTGGAGCTGTATTCAGGTCAGGTCGACAAACAACTAATTTTAATCATAGCAGCAATTAGGTTGATGGCAAATATTATTTATATTTACACACACACACACATATATATATATATATTTGCTAACTCCTACTGAACAGACGTCAGACACGAACCTGTGCAAAGAAAGGGTTCTCCATATCTAAGTAGTACTCGCTCCTCCTGTAGCTGCCGCCTGAACTCCTCAAGCCAAGCATGATGGCTACTTTTGCCAAGTGCACCAGCATCCAGGAACCTTGTACAGCATCCTACGTCTGACAGAACCCTGTCTGAGCTCCGGTACCAGCCTGAGACTACTGGACAAGAAGGACAAGTCCTACCCCCACCTCACCCACCACGTCACCTCCCACCTTCTCTGCGTGTGAACTATGAATAAGGCCCGTGAACTGCGCAGACCAACAAGAGCACAGAGCCGCCCTTCAGTCGGGCTAATGCGAAGCACCATGCAGCAGGTGGGTCACATGAATACCTCATTGAGAAGGAGTGAGAAGTCGAGGGGGAGGAGGGAGCGAGGGAAACGGCGAGAGAGATAAGGGGGAGGAGGGAGAGATCGTAGGGGGAGAAACAGCAGATGGAGAGTGACTGGGAGAAAGTTAAATAAATGGGAATAATGGGAGGTAAAGTCCGAGTGAGTAGATGAGGAGTGGAAAAAAAACCCCTGGCGCTTGGAGAAACAAAACCGGAATGGGGGCCGCGCTCCTTCTTTTTAATCTGTGCTGAATCAATAACCCTACTGTAATAGAAAAGCCCCCCAATCCTTGTCACTTGTTTCGCCGCCGCCCTGTGTGCTGCCACAAAGAGCCAAGTCACATCATGTGACGAACCCTTTCACACCAGACTCAGGCTCTGTGATCATATTCAAGGGAACGGAGGGAAAAGGTGAAGCTGAACTTTGGTCTTTAACCGATCTTGCGCTTTTTAGTCGGTGCAATTAAAAAAAATCCTAAGCATTTTGAATGGACTTTGTTTATTTATACGCGATGAATGTTAAAACTAAAACCAAACAGAATCTGTCATTCTAACAACAGAAACACAGAGTGTGTTGGTGCTCAGTCACTATAATATTAACTTTGTCTTTTTTCCTCTGTTCCTTTGTGCTGTTAAAGGAAAAACAACAAGGGCTGCTGTCATCTCTGAGGCTTGGGAAACAGGAATACACATTTTTTCCAACGATCCTGACATAAAAATCTTTTTTTACGAGACAACATTTTTGGATTATTTTTAACTAGACTTGAATCCAATTTTACACAGCTGGTTAGTGTTCTGGCTGCCGTAGACTGTGCTGCACATTGACAGTGTTCTATGCAACCGGACAGAAAAAAGGAGGATTTTTTTTCTCTTCATTTTCATTCAACTTGACTAGTGTCATTATATGTAGAAAAGTTATAATTGGCTCAGTCAGGTGTAAGCTAGAAGAACTGAATTTTGCCTCAGTTGTGCTTAAACCATAGTAAACAACTACAAAACAAATACCGTATGTACACTGGAACCTCGAGATACGAGCGTCTCGACATACAAGTATTTCGAGATACGAGTAAGCCACTGAGTAAATTTTAATATTAGGACAGATTTGAGATATGAGGACACTTACAGATGCTGACACAAGGTGGCCGAGCGCTTGGAGCAGCCCATGCCGCCTCACTCCTTCACTTTACCTGTTCGTCGACCTTCGTACGCATCTCCCGCGAGTCTTCCGTATTGTGTTTGCGTTATCCACGTGATTTTCTCTCTATTTTGTGCATTATTCTTCATAATAGTGATGAGTCCTAAGAAAATGACTGGTAAGGATGGTGGTGAGAAGAAGAAACGCATAACGACCAAATGATTGGAGATACGAGCACCTCGAGTTACGAGCTCGGTCCTGGAGCGGATTATGCCCGTATCTTGAGGTTCGACTGTATCTTATGTAAGTTTGAAAGTTCACTTCCCAACTCTCAACTTTTCTCAAACTGTTACTTGAAGTGAGAAGTGGTGTCAAGTAGAAGTTGAGAGGAAATAGCTCTCTCACCCATCGCCCTCACCCTTATCTCACCTACTGTATTGTAACCACCATCACTGTCTATGACCTTTTAAAGGGGACACATTGTGCCACTTTTATGTAAATGAATATTGTTCCCTGATGTCTACGTCCAATGTCATAACATGCTTTGTTCTAGACCGGATGTTGCCCAATCATTTTTTTAATCTGGCCTGCCAAACTTTTTCAGATTATATAATTTATTTATATTATCATTATAACCCTGCCCGTTCCCTGCACTAACCATGTTCCCAGAATAAATGGCGTAGAAAATGACAAAAGCATTTTAGCAATTTAGCCTATATGCATGACTTTTACATGTCATTTATCTTAGATCACACGACCGCTCTATCTATCTGCTCCTGACCCAGCCCTCCTGTTAAATTTTAGGACAATTGTGGGTCGCGAGTTAAAATATTTGCCCACACCTGTTCTAGACTTTCAGTTTCTTTGCTTTTACCTTTAATATGGCAAGAGTGTTGTGGAAATATTGTAATGACTGCTGGTATACTGGTACATTCTGGCGGTACTTGTAGAGTCAAGTTGGCAGCGTATGCCATTCTGACAGGTATGGTAAACCACCAGGACAATGGATGACAAACTGTAGTTCAACTGTGCTGTACGTGTTTGATCTTTCTTCAAGTTTCCTTAATGTTCCACTTTTTCTTTGCCCATTTATTTTTTGTCTCATATCAGTGTATCAGTCATTCTCTCAGCCATCTGGGTTCCTCCACTGTGTCTTCACCTCCTCCTACTCACACAAACGCGCATTTAATTCACCCTTCAGTGTCTTTGAATCTGAACTTTCCAAGATTTTCTCCTTTGTCCTTCATGCCGTGGAAGCGTGTTTGTACCAACACATGTTGAATCTCACAAATAAATCTATATTTTCATCCCTGGCTCCTCTCGTTCCTCTGTTTCTGTCCACCATCTGGACATATCTATCTTCCTTTCTCCTCATCTCTCTGTCTACCTGCTGATTCATGTCTCTGTGAGTCGAGGCCGATCTGAGGATGTCTGTACTTGGTAGAAAAGAAAAGAAAAAGAAAAAAAAGGAAAGAAATAAAAGATGATGTCATCTTTCCAGCAGGTAGGACTCACACCATCGCGCCAGGGAGGATGCAGTGGTTAACAAGACACTGCCTCAGTCCAAGACAAAGAAACCAATCACTGGAATCGACCCTCCAGTTTTTCTAACAATGACAAAATGAGTTAAATCTTTACATGGAAACGAGTGTTGTTTTTTTATTTTAACTAATTATTATTATATTTACCTTATCGTTTTGTACCTAAAGGGAATCTCCACGAAACTTCAACTACTTTTCCCTGCGACTAATAAGAGGGACTGATCTTATCATAAACCAGTGGTCTCAACTTCAGGGTGTCAATAATGATTTTATTTTGCCCTTGAGAAAATTAATTTTAAAAAAAATTAAAACTTAGTTTATGAATTAAAATATTGTTTTCAGTTTTGTACTTAAAAAATACTTTGTAAAAAATGTATTGAATGTAATTATTATTATTTTTTTATTAACTAATGACTAATGATGAATTTATATTGAACTATTGACCTCAGTGACCAGAGGTCATACTTAAACCCTACCTTTTTTCCACTGAACATGCATCAAATAGTGCAGGTGATGGTCTTCTGCAAAGACTTATGGGTAGAAAGAAGACACTGTGGTGCCGACAGGACAATAAACCAAAGGCATGGTGGACAAATTTGTTTTTGTTTGTTCATTTTTTTTACAAAATGTAAAAGAGAAATGCTAAGCCAGACGTGATTATCATTAGTGCCCTCCAATGTTATGTTTGATTTACCCAAATACTCTGATTATTTGTGAGTATTACGCAAGACTTCCTGATGGACACCCCCTGACGCATACATGGCTCCATGTCTGTTTTTAAGACAACAGGCTCATAATTAACCCATAACCATGGGTAAATACACACATGCGTGCTTAAACACACACACACACCATAACAACTTACTAGTTACCAGGTGGTTTCCATGACAACAGACAGGAATGGAGAAAGAGCAAAGGAGAGAGCGAGATGGAGAGAGGAGAAGAAAGAGAAAATTTATTCTAAAAAATATTAGAACAATCTAAATATTATTAAGTGCTTATCAAGACAGAGCTAAGAATGAGGGAATGGTGTGAGAACAGTGGGGTGACGCAAAGTGCAGCAATGAGGAGAGAAGGAAAAGCAGCAAGGTGAGTGGAGTAAAAAAAGAATTCAGCAATTAAATAAAATGTAAGAGCAGCAGAAAAGAGGACTGGAGGGGAAAACCTGAGAGAGGAAAAGAACAAAAGATGGACAAGGATGTAGAAATAACAGGATATTTTCAAGGATTTGGATTAATGAATAAACAAGGGCTTGAATACTAAATGGACCAAACCAGTAGACAATCTAAAATGTAAACAAGGGCACTGTAAACAGTATGAGTTTGAGTATTTGTGAACTCAAACTCAGCACTGAATATGACTGGGTAATTCTTATAGTGAGATTTACATTTTTGTATCAAACAATGTCTGCGAACTGAAACCGTCATCATATTAAATAACGTATGAATAAATAAATTAAAGATAAAATAAATTAAATGAAAAATAATAATAAACAAAAGTTAAAAAATAAAATTTTCATCAAAGTTGGCAGAAAGTGAGCAGAGCTTTTACACCAATAGAACATTTCGTTTGGAAACACCGTCTCCTGCTTTCCAGTAATCAAATGGTTGATTAATTTGAGTAGTTTATCAGAACAACTACTTCCATGTTCTGATAAACAATGAACGCAATTTGTGGTTAAACAAGTCAGAACAGAATAGTCACTTGTCAGTTGTAAACCCCTCATCTGACCACTGTGTGGTTTAGCTGAGAAGAGACTTTAGCTTATTCAGAGCTAAGACTCATCTTCAGGTCAGCATTATAAGTCCGTCTTTGATGTTATCCTACCTCCAAACTGTTGACACTGTTGACCTACTTAAATAAATTATACACGAGGACAATGAGCTACAGTAGGAAAACACACAACACTGCTGCACCTCTAGACGTGTGTACGGATGTTTTTACTGAAGCATTCGGCCAAAAACTCATACTGGTATTTGCGTGAGCAAATGTCAACAAGACAACTCTACCATCGTTTACAAAACAACCAACTGATCATGAGATGTAGATGCATTTTAACTAGGAATGTCCGATATTTTCTTTTTGCTAATATCCGATATGCCGATATTGACCAAACATTTACATAATTCCCGATTCCAATATCAACCGATATGGATATATCCAACTGATTACCCTCAAAACTGCGGTAAACCTCTAGGACTATCACAAGCGAGAAGCAAATTTGGCGAACTCCCAGGCATTGCATTATCGGGTTTTCAATATTGGAGGTAAAACCGATAACGATTCGTACAGATATTATGAAATTATGCTAATATCTGGCTGATAATATCGGTCGGCCGATTATACTGGACATCCCTAGTTTTAACCAATCAAGTCACACAAAACAAGACCGAGATTTTTAAAAAAGCAAAATAGGGTTTGGAAGGCACTTACCAGAGAGGCCGACTTTATGGTAGCGAACCGGCCCTGGTTCTTATAGTTCTGGGCCGGGCTGCTCCTGTCAGAGGAGGATGGCCTCAGCTCTGGTCTGTGCTCCCTATTGGTCCCATCATCCCAGTTGAACTTATGGTCCTGTTAAGGAACAGGTACAAGCTGTAGTATAACATTTAATCACAGAGTGCACGTTGCGTCAGTGATCAACAGACAACATCGTAAAAACAAAAGTGAGCTTTGGCAGAAGACGTGGTGGGTGTGGCATTGTAAAAACAAGACAATGTGACAACTGTAAGACCCCTTTATCTGAGGAGGGATCTTCATCAGCAACTTCCAACAATGTGCGTCACTTTCACTTGTTCTAAGACAGCAACTGCCTGTCGGTCGAAGTGACACCTCTGTTCATGCACTGTCACAGCACTGACAGTGCAGGAAGAAAGAACAGCAGTGCTATGACAGCCCTCTCTCACATTTAAAGTCTGCTGAAAATGTTTGAGCTGATGATTCAGAGTGTGAGTGTGTGTGTGTGTGTGTGTGTGTGTGTGTGTGTGTGTGTGTGTGTGTGTGTGCTTAATGACAGGGTTATACAAGCCGAGGGGTGTGTACTTCTCTCGACATGTGAACACAGCCTTTGTTCCTGATGTGTTGGACGAACTTGAAGCAGTCAATGAGGAGAGTCAGTTGTTGCCATGGTTTCAGAAGACAGCATTTACGCTCTCTCTCTCTCTCTCTCACACACACACACGCACGCGCGCAAACCCAGTCCTCCATAGAAGTACTCTTGAAAGCTCTTTTTGTTTTTCTTTGCAGGTACAGATTTTCTTTGGTTTTTTTTTGTAGAAAACTTTTATGTGTTCACAAAAAAGGAGTGAGGGGGCAGTCATGTTGCTCTGGGCACAATTCTTCAAACCATTTACAGCCAAATGGTTCTGATAAAAATGGTACACAATAGACGAGTAGATATTTTCAAATTAGATGCTGGAAAAGTACATATATTTTTTGGAAAATATTCAATATTTGCATCTTTTGAGACACAGAAAAACAAATTTAGATACTGTGGCTTCAGAGTAAACACACAGAAGGACAGACTTATCCTCCCCCAAATTTTTTTAAAGAGGATTCTTGAGGATAATTGGAAACAAGGTTGTAGTATTGTGATTTGCATTTTCTTGGATATCAGTATTTCTGGTGGTGTTTGATCTGGAGTGCTGGTGTCAGCACAAACCAGACGTATGTTACTGTACCATATGAAAAAAAAAAGTATGTATTCACATTTCTTAGCCTTTTTCCTCATTGGCTCAACCATACACACTTCTACTAGGGTAGTAG